ATGGATTACTGAAACAAATATTTCGGAAAATTAAAAAGTAAGCTTATGCTAAAATAGCACTTTTCGGCAATGAGCACAATTTAGCAGAGTTAAAACAAACAAGATTAAATTTAGTACAAGAAATGTTTTTGAAATCTATTAAAATTTAGTGTTCAAAATTACCTGGCGACACTGTTCACGTACATACGAAATTTCTGACGTGATTGCTGTTTCAGACAAATACTGAATAATTTCAGTGACCTGAATTTTGTAATCGTTGATCTTTAGCAGAACTGAACTGCATGAAAAATAAAGAAGGCATTTAAAAGGGGTATTTTTAGCTATTCATCTCCAGCACTCGCTGCACATAGCCAGAACGATTTTATGGATAATGCTAATTGTTTTCTCTGCATTATTAATAAATCCGTATGTAGCGCCATACTCATCAACAGGACATACCTTTGGATCCTGAAGTTTACGGATAATAATTGCTTTTATTAATGGGAATGCTACGGCCTGCTTCTGGCTATCAAAGACATCAGTTTCAGCATAAGTTAAAAGTAACTGTAAGCGTTTTGCAGTGAGCAAAAAATTCGGCGCATCTTTGATTATCTGCGTGAATGCCTGAAAAATTTGTAAAGCTGCTTCTGAAAATTTCAAATTATAAGAAAAAACACCATTTAATGTTTACAGATTAAAATCAAATAAACATGACAGCGCAGCTCTGAGGCCTGACCCTACAAGCTAATACAAATCCACAAACACTTTAAGCGTAATGGCGAGACGCTTTAGTTAGCGAAAGCTCCATCAAAAACAAACGATCTGCATAGGATAGAGGGATGCAGGGAAGCGTGCGATTTTTAAAAAATATCATGCGATAGTTTGAATCATTTCAGTCTGAAATGTCAGTGCCTAATGAAATATTATTTTAATGCGTACCTTGAAAACTAATTGCGAAACCTCTAGTGAATTTTGAGCATATTCTGCTGCATGACCAGCAGTAGTGAATGCTGTGTAATCAGCCAAAAATATAAAAAGCCGGTCCAAGAACTTCGGCATATTCGTCCGCAGAGCTGGCAGTGGAAATTTCAGTAGCAGCAAGAAACATCTGAGAGAGTTGATGAGGATCTAAAAAACAAACTTGAAACAGTGAAAATAATCTAGGTCATTGCTCGACGCTCCACCACCCAGAACGTTTTGCTGATTTATAAAGAATGAAATGTCAATACTCCCAGAAGGCAAAATACCTCGATGAATTACAGGTGGAAGATGAGTCGACGAAGTATAACACATACCAATGAATTATCAAGTACCTAAAGCCCTGCAATGTGCTTCTGTCGGGAAGCCACTGAGCAAGCAGTCCCTTCAGGAAAGGAAATACATGTCATGGTCGCCGCTGATCTTCAAGTTCTCTGGTCGCCTGTCCCCTTCTCATCGGCGCA